GATCCTGTGAGTGAGGATCCTGTGAGTGAGGATCCTGTGAGTGAGGACTCTGCAAGTGAAGATCCCTTGCTTGAGGGTACTGAGGAAGAATGAAAACTCCATCGGGGACGGGTTGGGGGGTTGTTTAACGTTCTTTGCCTGGTGTTGGAGAGCATGGGGTCACAAATGGAATACATTCCTGACATTTATTCCTCCGGTAATTCCGAGCCAGTCTTGTCCAATCTGGCTTTCCCGAGACATCTGGATCATATCTTTTTATCACCTCCCTTTGCTTTTCAGTCTGGTGACCAAAGATACTGCTTTAAATCAAGGAGACTGTGCAAAACAGAAATTGATGGAAAGCTCAGCAGGTCTTCCAGCATCTGTGGAGAGAAATCTGAGTTAATGTTTTGGGTAACCCTTCCTCAGAGCTGAGGCAAAGAGATGGCTGCAGCATTAAGACAAAAAATGAACACGTTTACTGGAGCACTTTGTGAGTTCTGTGCAATATTACACTCAGCTGGAACGGAGGAGAGCAGAAATAGATACCATTGAGCCGATGACTTCTGAAAAAATGGTTTTGAATTGTTTATCTGTAGTTCGAATCTGATTAGCTGGAATAAATCGTATCACTTCTTAAAAACAGCTGCTTAGTATGTGCCTTTTTATCAACCTGGATCTGAAAAATCAAGGATGTTTGGGAGACTTTGCAAATTTCTTTCAAAATTGATGAGCTTTGTGACAACTCCAGGAAATGTGGGGCTTAGCACCTTGCAAGGTTAACCCAGGAAAGGGTGCTGATGTACCAGGTGACATTCACACCCACTGCATTGGTGCTGAATAGAGGGGCAAATTCATCTTCAATTGCCTGCATACTGTTCATACTTTGGAGCTCCGGCCTGCAAGTTCTGTCCCTGAGTGTGTGTGCAGTATCTGTGCTCTAAATATATTCACAAAGGGGAAGGTGGGATGATGGCCTGGTGTATTATTGTAGGAGTATTAAACGCGAGACCCAAGTAATGTTCTGGGGAAAACCAAAAGATCTGCAGATGCTGTAAATCAGGAACAAAGACAAAGTTGCTGGAAAAACTTAGCAGGTCTGGCAGCATCTGTTAAGGAAAAAACAGTTAAAGTTGCGGGTCTGGTGGAATGTTCTGGGGAGCTGGGTTAGATTTTGAAATCAATAACAACTTTGGAATTGAGTCCAGTGATGACCGCTGTTGTTTGTCAGGAAAAGAAAATGATTCAGTCGGAGAGGAAAATGATGTCCTTTCCCAGTCTGGCCTACATATGACTCCAGACTATCCAAGACGTGATTGACTCTTAACTGCCCTCGGGACAATTAGAGATGGGCAATAAACAGTGACCTGAGCCTACAGTTCCATAGGGCTAGGGCTGAGCAGTTGCTTGGCTTGGTAAGAGCTGGAGCATTAGCTAGGGTTGGGGCTGAGCAGGAACAAGGGTAAGGGGATGGGGGACAATTCATGGCAGTGGCTTGGTGGGGGGATGGGGTTGCTGGGAAGTTACCTCGTGAACAGTGACAGGCGGATGGATGCACCCGCATTTCCCCCGACAGTCCTGGCGGGGGTAAAATTGGGGGTGTAAAGGGGTTCAGTGCAATGGAGGGGTGTCCGGCCCACAGTGCATAGCGCGTGTGAAAAAGCCCCCCTTCCTCAAAACGGGGGCGCCGGTGGGTGCGCAGGCGTGGTGCCGTCGGCGGCCGTGAAATTGCCCACGGCGCAGGCGCATGACCGGCGGGTGAATGCGAGTACGCAGGCGCACCGCTGGCCGGGACCAGCGCCTGCGCAGTGAGGCGATCCAGATGAAGGAGGCCTGCAGCGACAGAACAGGTCAGAGAAAGACTGATAGATTATAGATATTTATAAAGTATTATATTATTAAGAGAGATGGGGAGGTGGAGGCCCCTGGGATCGGAGAGAGTGCAAAAAATACAATGTATACTAATGAAAATAAATCATTTTATATCTGTCATCTCATAGAGAAAAGGGGAAGGAACCCATGTGTTGCACCCCATCTCCAGTGTGAAGGGGGACCGGTGCCAGTGTGACACCGCTGCCCCAGTGCGAAGGG